AGCGGGACGCCGTCGCTCCGGGCAGGTTGGGGGTGGAGCGCGCTCGGATGACGTCAGCATCGCGGCACAGCGGCCGAGACGAGCGGGGCGGGGCGCTCCTTAATGACGTCAGCGCGGCGCCGTCGCGGTCGTGACGCGCGGACCTGGCCCGGCCGGGCCGGAACAGGGGCATTGGCGGCAGCGGCGGCGGCGGCGGCGGTAGGCCCGGCCCCGGGATGGCGATGTTCCGCAGCCTGGTGGCTTCGGCTCAGCAGCGACAGCCGCCGGGCGGGCCGGCGGGCGGCGACAGCGGCTTGGAGGCGCAGTACAGCTGCCCAATCTGCCTGGAGGTGTACCACCGGCCTGTGGCCATCGGCAGCTGCGGCCACACGTGAGTGCGCCGGCCTCCGGGAGGCCACGGGACCGAGACGCCGCAGCGGGGAGGGGTCCGCGCCCGCCCCGGAAGGGGCCCGAGGCCCGGGAGCGCCCGGCGCTGCCTCGGAGCCAGGCGCGCGGAGGACTCGGGCGGGGGCGCGGGGCTCCCTGCGCCGCTCCGGCCCTGTCCTCTAGGCGCGTTCCTCCGCCTCGGCCCAGCCTCCCGCCCGCCAGTCCCGGGCGAGCCGAGCACCCCGTCGGCGCTGTGGGCGACCTGCAGCCCGGTCTGGCCCCGGGCCCCCTGGGATCTGCGGAGGGCTTCGGCGGGCCTAGCCGGGTACCCGGGCTGGCAGGCGACCTCTGCGCCGCCGCCTTCCGTGCGGTCCCCTGGAGACCAGGGTGGGCGTTTGTAAATAAACCCCTCGTGGCTCTTGCTCTCAGCTCTTCCTTGGACCCGCTGTCCGCTTGTCTTGGCCGGAGAGGAGAGGAGATCCCCGAGGTTAGGAGAGAGACTTGTCTGGAGTCTGGTGCTGTTTGTTTTGATGGCGAGACCTTGAGTCATACCCGTCGTTGAGCAGCCAGGCGGGCTGGCCCTGGGGCCCGGACACCGCGCACCCTGCGAGGGTTTCTAGCTGCACCGGAGCCTCCGGGGGGTCCTCTGAAACAGTGGTGTTTCAGCCACAGAAGCCTGAGGAAGCGGCTCTTCTCCCAGCAGAGAGCTGCCCTCGAGTCTTCTGGGAGCCGAGATCAGTGTCTGCTCTCCGGCCGCTCCTGGCTGAGCAGTACAGGGCTTGGATGCAATGAGCAGGGTGGGAAGCGAGGTCCGGAGGGTCCGGTGCCAGCAAGCTGGGCTCCTGAGGGGGCGGGTAGGTGCCCCTAGAAAATCTTCCGAAGAGCAGCAGCTGACTTGGGGGCTCCGGATGGAAAGCGGGGGCTGGGTAGCTGTGTGCCTGCTCCTCAGCCGGGGACCGCGCGCCCTCCTCCTCCCAGGTCAGCCAGCACGGGCACCTGCGCACCCCAGGGGACCACAGCCCATGTCAGGAGGGGCCCTGGGCCTCACGCTGCTGCTGACGTCTTGTCAGGGGCAGCCTCTGAACGGGCCTCCTTTCTTGGAAGCGCGCACTCGTGGGTGTGCTCGGGTTTGCTCTGCTGTCTTCAGTCCATCACTGGGAGAACTGTGAGGCTTGACCCAACTTCAGAAAGCCTTTCCTGGTTTTCGGGTGGCCTCCCCTTGGCACCAACACTTACCCAGCCCTGGGCCACAGCATTTCCAGCCTCCGGGTGTGTACAAATCTGTACAGGTTTTTTTTTCCAGATAAGTCTTTTCTTAAAATGTGGTCGTTAGACCGCAGCACCGCACGGAATTGTTGTGAAAGCGCCATGTTCTCTAAACCCTTTCCCCACCATGTTTCTCTTGGCAGAACCCGATCTGTCTTGTTTCTGAGGCTGGTCCCACAAGGAGCTCCTCCGCAGCATCCTCCTTCCCAGCTCTCTCTTCCGTCACTGTTTCTTATTCTTCCCCAGTGTCTCGTCTGATGTCCTGAAGACACACGCGCACAAGCACAGAGGACTTAAGGGCTCGCACTTTTCCTTAAAAGAGCCCCTGGCGGTGGCGGTGTTGGTCCCGGGTAGCCACCTAACCGTAAACAGTCTGCCTCCACCAGAGAGTTTCTGGTGGTGCGAGTGGCCATGCGTGGGCAGCACCGGACAGAAGAGGAGAGAGGGCGTGGTGGGGGTTTTCAGTCAGGAGGCCTTCGGTGGGGCTTGTGGAAGAGCCTCCAAGAGCTCCCCGGGAGCCCCAGAGGAGGGCGATCATTTCTCATCTTCGGGGTGCATCTGGAAGCAGAAGCTGCGTGGCTATGGACGACCCTCTGGTGGACCTTCCCCTGAGGGCCTGTGCGTGTTGGGGCCGGCTCAGCCTTGGGCTCCCCTGGCCTCTGTTCTCCTTTCATGCTCTCTCATCAGCGCTGTCCCACGGGGCCCTCCATGTCCGTGTCCCCACATGCGGTCAGTGAGCAGAGATCACAGAGAAATCAGAGCGCTCACGTCTGGGGGGTAATGTAGGGAATGAGGAGGACAGGTGTGTCCTGTGTGCTCAGTGTGCCTCTGCCTGGTCAGGTAGATGCTGTCACTATTTCTTTTGCACAAGAGGCCACGTTTCCAGGGGTCCCAGCAAAACCGGAGCTGGAGCTCTGGCAGTCGGGCAGGCTGGTCTCTGAGCCCCTGCCTCCCCCCGCAAGTGCCCTTGCAGCAGTGACCCTGGGGACCGCTGAGCCTTGATGGCCAGACACACAGACCCACAGGGCTGCGGGCAGGTGCTTCCAGGTGCAAAAGGGAGTCTGCATGCACCTTCCCAAGACCCCCACCTCCGCAGCCCCCTCCAGCTGGCAAAGTGTGCCCTTTGCCTTGACCTGTGCCTTTGTCGTCGGAGATGTGGTCCTGAGGCCAGCACTGACGACGTGGTAGCCCGTCCCCTGAGCGCTCCCGGGGCCGTGCCTTCTGCGTGTGCATTTTACAGCTTTGTGGAGACAGACCCTCCTCGTTTGAAGCACGCACGGCGGCGTCCGCTGAGTGTCTGCTGTCGAGCAGGCATCCCCATCGCAGACACAGCCACAGCCACGGACCTGCGCCCCGTCTGTGGACGGGTCAGTTCTGGATTTTCCATGTCAGCGCACGACCTGAGCTGGGTGGTCCCGAGGCCCCAGTGGCCGTGTCCGGCAGTAGCTCTCTCGTGCTGGGGACAGGCTGCATCCATGTGTCCTTTACCCGTAGCTCCTGCGGTGGCACTGCCGTGCGCACCTGTGGGACAGCAGCACACTCTCCCCCTGTGACTGACGAAGTGAGAGGCCAGCGTTGGCCAATAGGCTGCTCAGACCCTTGGAACGGCAGGAGGGGCATCCTGGAACGCTTGTCAGAGCGCCGTAGGGTGGGTGCCGGAGCACGTCTGTCCCACGCCTGCCGGGGTGCCCTGCGGGCCCTCCCCAGGTGAGGACGTGACTAGTGGCCCATCCTCCTTCCCCTGGAGGACAAAGGCTCTTCCGAGGGGCCTCATGCCAGGCTGGGCCTTCTCCCGTGCACACATGCCTGCAACTGGTGACAAGCAGGTGGGGGTGCGCCGGGAGCCAGAGGGAAGGTGGAGGGCCTGGGCAGCAGCTTTCCTGGTGGTGGAGAATGCCGGCCACTTAGCTGAGCAGAGCTGAGTGGCCTCCACAGCACTTCCTAAGAAGCTGGACCGAGTGGGTCCTGGCGTCAGGTTCCCACTTGCTGCCTGCTGGGTGCTCTCCAGCCTGGTGTCCGCACGGACTGAACGCCACTCGTTTCTCTGCGGCACTGGGGGTGGGACTCGGAGTGAGGGGGGCTTGCTCCTGCAGTCCAGGCACGTCTGTGTCCGCTGGCCAGCTTCTTGATATGGCCTCTCCAGGGACGGCGCCAAGAGCCTTAGGCCCCTGGGGCCATGGGTGTCCCCGCTCAGCAGTCAGGGGCCCAAGCAAGCCCACTGCCATCATCACGCCTCTGCTCTGGCACTGTCCCGAGGCTGGTGACACTCAGCCTGGAGCTCTTTGGTTTCCTCTCCCAGCACTGTTGGTGATCTTACTCTCCACAGCTTTGTGCATATAGGGTCTCCGGAGGCCTCCTGTGTCCCCCGTGTCCCCAGAGCACCTGGGCCCGCTGGCATCACCGCACGGCCATAAGATGGGCAGGCTGAGCCTCAGGCTGGGCCCAGGGCCGCGGGGCCAGCACGGCTCCTGGAGAGCCCCAGCCACAGCTCCACCAGCCTCCTGCACACGACAGCAGGCCCCAGAAACCCGCAGCCGGGAGGGGACCTGAGGTTGTCGTTTAGCCAGAGAAGCAGGAATGACACTCTGCAGAAACAGCAGAGGGGAGCTGCCCTGTGAGGTTCAAAGCAGCCAGCAGCCCTCAGGCCCGTGTCCCGTCCCCCTGCAGGTTCTGCGGGGAGTGCCTCCAGCCCTGCCTCCAGGTGCCGTCCCCCCTCTGCCCGCTGTGCCGCCTGCCCTTCGACCCCAAGAAGGTGGACAAGGCTGCGCATGTGGAGAAGCAGCTCTCGTCCTACAAGGCACCTTGCAGAGGCTGCAGCAAGAAGGTACCCCACCCTGGGGCCCTCCTGGGGCAGGGGCAATGGTCTGCAGCTTCAGGGAGACGAGCCTCTGCTCCCCGCTCCAAGCTCTCCCGAGAGCGGAACCTGTGCTCTGCCCCTCCTCAGGGTCCACCCCTTCCCAGGGCCTTCCCACTCCCATCACCCCTGCCCTGGCCTGGGCTCTGGCTCTTAGGTTGTTGTGGGCCTAATTAGGGAACACGGGAACTGAGCCTCAGCCCTGCCAATGGGAAGGGTGGGGGGGAGGGAGGCAGGGTCCCAACTAGAATTGGGGGCCCTCTAGTGCTGACTGCTACCACCCACCTGGCTTGTCTCTCCACCCTGCCTGGAGCCCCTCACAACGGTCCAGCCCCAGGAGCTGATTTTGACTGCCATCCCTCCGCTCAATGCGAACAACACCATAGAAGGTGACCCCTGGTTGCTGTGTTCTAAAGCTCAGGGTCTGGACATCCTGGGGCTACCCTGGGCTCTGCAGTGAGGCCGCTGGCCTCCTTCCCTGGCACACAGGCTTTCTCCCGATACATCTCTTCTGGTTTCCTCGAGGACTGCCCAGCCCCTCTGCAGCCCCCCAGGGACCCCAGCTAAGGTACGCTCCAGTCCCGTAGCTGGTGACCAGATGCACCTGCCGACAGGTGTGCGGAGTCTGCGTCGCCTTCCCTTGGCGCCTCTTTCCTGGCAGGGCTGCAAGGCCCCCGCTTATGCGGCACCGCGGGCCGTGAACGTCAGGGGCAGGGACCGGCCTGCTTCCTGGTGGTCCTCTCATCCTCTGGAGCCTGACCCCGGTGCCGCCTCTGCCTCTGTCTTCCTAGGTGACGCTGGCCAAGATGAGGGTGCACGTCTCCTCTTGCATGAAGGTCCAGGAGCAAATGGCTAACTGTCCCAAGTTTGTCCCCGTGGTGCCCACGTCCCAGCCCATCCCCAGGTAGGCCTCCCCACCCACGTGCTCAGAGCCCCGGTTCCTTGTAGGGGCGGCTTCTGCCTGTGCTGCTGTCCCTAGAGGAGGCTCTTGTGTCCCCTCTGCAGGCAGCCTCACTGCCCTGCACGAAGGGGACCCCAAGGAGGGCCCGTACAGGTCACTGAGTCACCTCGCAGCAGGGGACTGTGGGGGGAAGGGATGGGACACAGAGCATTGGGGGGAGCCCATCAGCCACACCGCGGGTGGGGGGCGTGGGCAGTGCGGGCCCCCACTCACCTCCTGCCACCGCCCCAGCGCCGTCCCCAACAGGTCCACCTTCACCTGCCCCTACTGCGGCGCCCGCAACCTGGACCAGCAGGAGCTGCTCAAGCACTGTGTGGACAACCACCGCAGCGACCCCAACCGCGTGGTGAGTGGCCGGCCCCGGGGGCGGGGGCGGGGGCAGGGAGCAGGGCTGGCTCCCCCCAGCGCCGCTTCAGCCCGCGCCCCGTGTTGCAGGTGTGCCCCATCTGCTCGGCAATGCCCTGGGGGGACCCCAGCTACAAGAGCGCCAACTTCCTGCAGCACCTGCTGCACCGGCACAAGTTCTCCTACGACACCTTCGTGGTACGTGCCCCGCCCCGCCCCGCCCCTGCCGGCCCTGGCCCCGCCCCTGCCTCCACCCCCTCCGGGGCCCCGCCCCGAGGCCGGTGGCCCAGAAACCATGCCCCCCTGCCCCCCCACCCTGCAGACCCGCCGCACCCGGCCCTATCGCCCCCGCCCTAGTTGCTCCTCTGTCCGTCTCAGACTCCGGGTGGTGTGGCCCGAGGCGAAGGAGCCCCCTCCTCCCAGACGCAGGCGGGAGTCAGCCGGGCCGTGCCCTCAGGGAGGACCCAGCTGTGGATCCCAGGCGTGGGCAGCCCGTCCCACCACCCCATGGCCATGGCGTGACAGCACTGTGCCGTCCCGGGGCGGGGGGTTCTGGCCCTGAGAGGCACCTGCGCATCTCTCGCCTTCCCTTCCTGCCCTCCAGGATTACAGCATCGACGAGGAAGCCGCCTTCCAGGCTGCCCTGGCCCTGTCTCTGTCCGAGAACTGAAGGCACAGCCCAGCCCCTGGACCTGACCCCTCCGGCCTCGGGAGACTGGGCCACCCCCAGGGACTGGGCCTCCTGCGCCTGCGCGGGACAAGCGGAGCCTCCTGTGTTGCAGGACAGGTGGTCCCCGAGCCCGCCAGGGCCGTGGTCCTTGGAGGGTGGACACCAGTGCTCCCGGCCGAGCGCGGCTGGCTCCCTCGGTGCTTCGGGCTGAGCAGGTGGCCCTCGCTGGGCCCGAGAGCGCGGGCGGTCTGTCTCCAAGCCATGCTGTCCTCGTCCGACTCGGTGCGCCCCAGCGGGGTCCCGCAGGCCTATGCGGAGCAGGAAGCGCCAGGGGAGCCCCGCCCACCATGGGGGGGCGCTTCCAGTTCACCCGCTCGGGACTGGCTTTTGTGATACTTAGAATTCTGGCATTTTTCTATACTATCCAGCGTGGTGATCTTTCCACATTTTATAGAGCAAAGACCGAGCAGTTACTGCTCGTACTGCAATACCCGTGTTTGACTAGACAATAGTATTTTTATGGAACATTTACAAAATTATATTTTTTAAAAAAACAATCAAAAATAAATAGTTGTGGGGTCTGTGCGGGGGAGCAAAAGGCGCCGACGCCAGAGCCAGAGCGCGCCCCGGGGCTTTGCTCAGACAGATCCTGGCGCTGCTCTGCTGGGTTCCCCTTCCTAACTGCCAGGAGGAACCCCCGGGGCCCCCAGCTGCTCCCAGCAGCTCCTAACTCCGCGGTTGCCCCAGCAGCGCCGGCCTCCTCCCACCGGGGTCCTGGCCCCAGCCCTGGCCCTGCTGTTTTATCCCCAGGCGGACCCCAAGCGCTGTCAGTAGGCCGCCCCTGGGGACGACAGCTGGGGATGGAAGACACCATCTTGCTCTTTCTGTTCGCGGCATAAGTTATTGCTCTTTTAGAAAAACTTCAATAAAACATTTCAAAGCATCTGTAGTGACCTTGACCACTGGGTTTCATCTGGGAGGGGCTGGGGTGCACCGTGACTTCCCTTTGCTTGAAGTCTGCAGGCATGTCTGTCCCCAGGCAGCTCCAGCACTGCGGGGGGACAGTGCCACCCACCAGCCCAGGCCCCTCCCTGTGAGCATGGCGCCTCCCCAGGCTGCCCTCAGCCCCAGGCTCCCCCAGAACACGTCCTCTCTCTCGAACCACAACAGTTTGCTGGTGACACATCTTGGCAAAAGTGTGCCAGGGGGGCGGTTGTCACCTCCTTCCTTGTCAGGAGATGGGGTCGCCCGAGGCCAGCACACTGGACTCAGTGAGGCCTGCTCTGGGGGCCGGAGGTGGCCACGGTGGCTGGAGGGCCACCTTTGGGACACCCTCAGAGTAAAGTCCTGAGTCTCTGAGCAGCAGCCCCTCTCCCCTCTTGCTGCTGGACAGCTCCCCGGGCATCCTCCTGGTGCCCCAGCATGTGACCTCGGCTCCCCAGCCTCACATGGAGGCTGGCAGGCGGAAGGAACCATTCAAACAGAAAATGTCCGGGGTGTCTGGCTGGCTTAGAGCGTGTGCTCCTGGTCTTGGGGTTCTAAGTTCCAGCCCCATGTTCGGTATAGAGATTACTTAAAATCTTTGAAATTACTTAAAAGTCTTTAAATGTGGGACATCCAGCCAGAGGTGGTGCTCTGGGCTGCCAGAGCGGCTTCCCCAGGCAGGGCTGCGCTCCAGGCCGTTCCTCAAGGCAGGTAGGAGCTTGAAGCCACGGCAGAGCCAGGCAAACCGGTCCCACAGGCAGCTGCTCAGGAGAGCAGTGATGGGCTGGTCACCCTCTTAGGACCCCCTTCATTAGGGGCCTCCAGTCCCACCCTCCCCCCTTCAACCCCACTGGTCGAGGGAGCCGGTGTGGTGGCGGGTCCCTGCTGCCACCTGAGGACACCTGTGGAGCTCTGCCCTCTCCATAGAACCACGGGGCGAGAGCCACAGGGTAGTGTCCACACAGGACCTTTCATCCCCAACACCTCATGCCCAGTGACTCGGAGTCCAGGGCAGTCTGCCAGGGGGAGGGCATCGAGTGAACCCCAACACAGCGTGGGGGGTGCGGGTGAGCTGGATCTCAGCAAACCCCATGGCGTCAGGGTGGGGACGCTCTGGCTGAAAGCCACGGCACAAAGAACCTCCCTTTTACTTCTAATGAATCCTGGCGACAGTGGGGCTGTCCTGCCAGGCCTCCCCCTCAATCCACAGGGCCGCCTCCAGGGCTTCCCGCCGCGTGCGTGTACACGCGCACACATGCACACCCATCTCCCCCACGGCCACACAAAGCCAGACAGCATTGTGTCCCAGTGCTCCACCCGGAGGGCACACTTCCCTTCCCCAATGGAGTCCACGCGCATCTGCGGCCTAGAAAGCACGTCTTGGGGTGCCTGGGTGGCTCAGTAGGTTGAGGCCTCTGTTTTCGGCTCAGGTCGTGATCCCGGGGTCCTGGGATCGAGCCCTGCATTGGGCTCTCTGGTCGGCGGGGAGCCTGCTTCCTCCCCGCTCTCTGCCTGCCTCTCTGCCTGCTTCTGATCTCTGTCTGTTTAAAAAAAAAGAGAGAAAAAGAAAAAGAAAGAAAGAAAGCGCGTCTGGATCTCAGGTACCTACAGCCTCCTATGATAGCACCGGGCCAAGCAGGCAGGACCCCTGGAGCGCACAGCCCTCGCCACCCCCAGGCCCCGGAGCGCTGGTGCTGTCCTCATCCCCGGGGGCCTGTGGGAGCTGAACGCCTGTGAGTCTGGCCCACTGCCTGACCTAGCCGGGGGCACTGCCAGCAGGGCTCCGATGGGGGCCTCCTGCTGACTGTGCGGGCAGCCCCCAGGCCGCAGAGGAGGCGCTCTGGAACCAAGAGGCCGGCTGCGGATTCCTTCCGGGCTGGAGGACACTCCAGGCCCTGCAGTCAGTGGCTTCCAGAAGCTAGGGACCCCGGACCTGGGACCCAGGAGGTTCCTGTCTGGCCTGGCCGGTGCACACCCCCCCAACACACACACACCCCTGCCGCGCACCTTATATGGAAGTTGCAACAGAGAATTGAGCTGCCAGAGACACCTCTCCTGAGAGCCTCCAAGGACAGGCCGCGCTTGCTGGCCTCTGCCCCCCGGTGGCTGGTGTGAGAAGCACAGTGCGTGCTGTGGGCTTGGCTGGGGGCTGGTCTGCGAGATGGGGACTCCAGCCCCTCCCGGTGACAATAAGCAGCATGACAGGTGGCCCTCCCTTCTCCCAACAACCTGCTGGGAAAGGGGGGTCAGCTCCACGGTGCAGGGAGGAGGCAGTGAGGTGCTGAGTGGGGAATTCTGCTGTGGACCCAAGAGACCCCTCTCTTTGAGGCCCTGGGCGTCCTGCCGATGCCTGACACCCATATCACTCGGGAACAGCGCCTGCGGCCTTACAAACACACGTGGGCACACACATGTGTCATGTGTGCACGCGGTAGGCCACAGCCCCGCACGTGCGTGCACCCCCGCTCAGCCCCCCACTGCTTTCTTCCCCTGCCGCCCCTAGAAACCCTCCTCAGGGCCCAACACTGTGCTCCCCGACATGCCTAGGACACCATGTCTAGGACTCTCCTGCATGCTGTGTGAATAAGCTGTGTGCGAAGGGACAATGTCCCTCCCTGTCTCACACAGGACATGTCTCCAGACCCCAGGTTAAGAACCAGCATCAGCTGTAAGAGACCTCAAAATGGAATGAGCTCTCCTTCTCTGGGAGTAACCAAGCACACATCGGCCACCAATCTGACCAGATGTTGGGAGCTGGAACATTGGGTCTCCATTTCTATAAGCCCATGACCTCGTACGGCCACAAGGTTGCCCCAAGTCAGGATATACAGCCACAGCCACACCCCAACAAATACGCCCTATGCCAGGGCAGGGGCTCTTCGTCCCTGCGGCTGGCGCCCCCAGTGTGAGGGGCCACCCCTCTGGGGTCCTGGGACAGCTGAGCCCCAGCTATGAGGTCCAGCTCTGAGCACTGTTCCAAGAGTCTCAGTCCCGGGACTCTTGGGGTCCCCTCCCCAGAAGCTCACCTCTCCTCCAAGCCCCAGGGGTGTGCATGCCCGGGGCCACACTGTCTGGGGGTTCACAAGGCCCTTCCGTCTCACCCAGCAAGCGCTGCTGGACCCCGCCGTGCACACGCAGGCACTGCGCAGGAGTGAGGGCTGGCTCCTGGCTGGGCCCCCATCGGGATGCAGTGTGATGGGGAGCAGGGCCCCCCGATTGGGTCGTGGAACCCAACCGGTTAAGAAGGGAGCACGCACTGGGGATGCATGTGTACAGACGCATGCAGAGTCAAGCACAACCTGTCTAACTCTTTGTAAGGCACGAAAAAAAGACTATAAAAACACATTCACACGAGAAGAAAAACTATCCAACCAGAACTACTGCAATGGCTCCCAGATGCCTACCCTAATGGCCAAGCGAGGCTCAGGCACCTGATAGAGGCAGATGGGCGGGGCCCAAGCCCAGCTCCCAGCCCACTGTCCTCCCCAGGGTCTTAGGTGTCAAGGGAAGATTGCTGTGATTTCTCCCGGACTCTGGTCCCTGCTCTGGTTGAAAGAGGGGCAGTTCCAGGAGACTGGAGGGAAGTGGGTGGGTGTGAGGCCTAACTGCCAGGTAAAGCAGCCATAATGAGGATAAAAGGACACGGAGCAAGAGCAAAGGGACAGTGGCATCCCCTCCCTGGCCCTGCACAGGTGCAGACAAGAAGATGCCCTCGTCTTCCTCTGAGGGTCCTTCTTGGGTCCAGCCAGACACGACCCTGCGAGCCACAGCCAGTGAGTCTGCATGACCCCAGCAAGGGCTGAGAAGTGGGTGTGGGTCTTTTGTTGTGGGATCCCAGGGGCCATTTCCAGGATGAGATGGGGAACACTCGTTTCCCTAAGTAGTGAGGGCCTCTCTCTGGGGATGAGGGACGTCACCTCGGCTGATGGCCCACAGTGGATGACCGGGTGAGGAGGGGCAGTGTGGGTGGAGGGCTAGCAGGCACCTGCAAGCCTTCTCTTCATCTGGGAGGAGGAAGAAGGGAGAAAGGGTATAAATAGAAGGGTCACGAGGCCACAGAACAGGTGAATAAGCAGAAAGCAGCCACGTGTCCTCTGAAATCCACACGCACAACTGCACAGGGCCAGGCTGTGGCCCGCAGGAGAAAGGCCTTCTGTCCATGTGGCACCTGCCCCTCCTTGCTCTCACCAAGCCACAGACAGGGGAGCACACGCCTCGTGTGCGCCTGGGTCCCTACCCCCCACTGGCTAACCTCTCAGAGCCTTTCTCACCTGCAACACTGCATGAACGTAAGACCCTGGGGGACATGGCCTTCCCTCCCCGCTTCTCTGGAGGTCCCTCTACCGGCTTACCGTCAACTCCACCCTGTCGCCCCCCAAGCCCAGAGCCAGCGTAGAGCACCCGCCGTCACCTGGCACCCGGGCCTCCAAGGCAGGCAGGCCTGCTGCAAGGCCACGGGAAAACCCCACGGCTGCCAGGGCAGGCTTGGTGCTGTGTCCCCTCACCCAGAGAACGCCCCGTCTGACCCCCAAAGTCCTGAAACGTCCACATCAAAAGGGACCAGACACTCAGACGCAGCTCGCCCCGCTCTTCGTGGCACTGAAGGAGGGACGCGGCCGCCCAGGGGCACAGACTGGTCTGCACACAGTGCCGGCGCTTCCCCTCTTGGAGGGAACTTCCCATCACCGCAGCTCAGATCCCCTCGGAATCCCAAAATCTCAGGCTGTGTCCGTTCTCC